CGTTGTCTTCATAGAATGTGGGTGAGCAGAAAACGGCAGAGCACACGGTGCCGTGGCGCGGCGGGGAGGCCGGCAGAGCACACGGGTGCCGTGGCGCGGCGGGGAGGCCGGCAGAGGAAGGGAAGTACGTCCTCCACCTCACCGCTCAGCCGGGCGCCGAGGCCCCGAGGAGAGCAGCTGCCAGCGGCTGGGGGGTGGGGCGCCTGGTCACTAATATGGCCCCGAGGAGAGCAGCTGCCAGCGGCTGGAGGCTGGATCTCCTGTTCACTAATCCCCACTGCAGACTGTCCCTTGAAAACCTCTTCATCAAAGTATGAAAATAAGGGATCACTTCATCCTAAAAAAAAATGTAAATGTTTTATTTTAAACGTAACACTCTGGAAGACAGTGCACTAGCAGGGCACACTGTCGGGTCCCGACTCCCAGGCTCCCCGGGCTCTCAGCACGGGGGTTCCTCTGGTTGGCGCCCAGCAGCGTAGAGTGGGCAGAATGGTGGCTCTCACCAGAAAGGCAGCAGGTTTCCTGAGGGGCATGGACAGGAAACGCTGTTCAGGTCTGTTCCTCTGCGCACTGAATTTGTTGGAGGGTGCATGCACTCACTAGGGAGAGCGAGGGACAGTGAAGAGGCCCCGGGCGTGGCCATCCCTCACCTCCTCCAGCCTCCTCTGACCACCCTCCCACACCGGCCCTGCAGCCGTCCCTTTGGGGACTCTAGGCACCGCCCTCTGCTATTTCTGTCATTTTCTGACGTGCTTTTCTCCCTCTTCTCTTGTCACTGTGCAGGTGAATGACTGGCAGAAGGACTGGGTGGCTTTCTATGCCCGGCAGCGCATCCAGCCCCAGATGGACATGGTGGAGAAGGAGTCCGGGGACCGGGAGGCCCTGGAGCTCTGGTCTGCTCTGCAGGTGAGCTGTGTCCTTCCCAGCCCTGACGTGGAGGGGGCACAGCACCTCCGAGTCGGGAGCACGCCGCTCCCGGCCTGCTCTTGCCCACGCTCAGCCATGAGACGTGGCACCGAGGACACCTGCGTCCTCCTGCACTGACCCCTCGGCCCCACTTCTGTTTCCCTCCTGCAGCTCAAGATCCCTGACCTGTTCCGTGACCTGGAGGTGGTCCCAGCCTTACTGCACGGGGACCTCTGGAGTGGGAATGTCGCAGAGGACGCGTCTGGGCCTGTCATTTTTGACCCAGCCTCTTTCTATGGCCACTCGGAGTACGAGCTGGCGATCGCGGGCATGTTCGGGGGCTTCGGGAGCGCCTTCTACTCCGCCTACCACAGCAAGATCCCCAAGGCCCCAGGGTTCGAGAGGCGCCTCAAGTTGTACCAACTTTTTCACTACTTGAACCACTGGAACCATTTCGGGTCTGGGTACCGAGGGTCTTCCCTGAAGATCATGAGGGATCTTGTCCGTTGAGAGGCCTCTGAGGAGGCCAAGGCTGCAATTTCGGGTGCGCGAGTCTGGCCGGCACCCCGGCTGGGCCCCTGCCGCCCTCCGGAGCCCTCCTGGTTTGCCTGTGTGGCTGCGTAGCTCCTTTCCTGCGCTGTTAAGTGGCTTCTCTCCCAGAGGAAGGTCTGGTTCTGAGGTTGAACGTGTGTTAGACTTCACCCCGGAAGGGGTCCCCAGCAGACGGGTTGCGGGCCGTGCTGCTCTCCAAGGCAGAGGGACCATGAGTGAGCTCGCGTTGGTGGGGAGGCCGTCCAGTGCACAGGGAGGGCCAGTGTGCCACCGCGGCCCCAAGGGCACCGTCCTGCCTCTGCCTGCACCTGTGTCGGGACCCTCCAGGTGGGGAGGACTTGAGTCTAGGCCTGACGACATCCCACGAGAAGTCTCTTACGACCGATTCCAAAATCGAGCACATTCCCTCGTCTCTGTGTTCTCTGGACCAAGCTGCTAGCCTCGGGTGTCCTGGGCACGTCGGCAGCCTGGGCCGGCATGCCGCGGTGTTCCCCACCTCAGTGCTGCAGTGGTGAGCTGTCTTCCCTGTGTGGCATCCATGCTAATGCTAACGAAGTCCTTGCCTAAAGTTTGAGTAAACTTGCAGTGGTTTAAATTCTGGAGGAGACTGCCCTTCCTTTTCCACAATTCAGCATTTCAGTTGTCTGCCGAGAAATCTTTGTAATGTATCATGACAGGAAATAGGTATGATTGTTTCTTAGAACAATTTTGTTTTTTAATTTGTTACAGGGCATGTGGCTTGCTGGAACAGTCACACACACACACACACACACAGGGAGAAAGTAACCCCCAAGCGGGGAGGTTAGGCTGCATTATCGTCTCCATTCTCGTGGCTGCTCTAAAATCACACCAGGGGAGACCAGCAGTTGGCGTAATGGTTAACGTCACTGGACTCCCTCGTAATTGACTAGTTCAAGTCCCGGACCTGGTGGCTTAAAACGCCCCAGGTGCGTGTGCGTCCGTGCCCAAGATCCCAAAAGGAAAAGGGATTGAAGCGTGGCTATCCCCCCGGGGGGATGATTTCTCACTCTCTGTCTCTGTCTCTCTGGCGAGTGCACACACCCTATAGCAAAAACCTCTCCAAAAAAAATAAAAAGGGAGAGAGTCCCCGCAGGCTTGTGTGCTTGTGCCCCAGACCTGAGGGACAAGGGGTGCGGCGGGGGGATCCCTCACTTCCCGCTCTCCTGTAAGCACAGGTGCCCTGTGGCAAAAACCTTAACTAGCACAGGGCTTCGAAATGAGAGCAAGGGTGCCTGCAGACTGTACCAGCTGACTGGGGGACCGGGCTTGGCGCTACATTAGCTACCGAGCACGTGTACTTGGTGGAGAGAGAACATGAGAAACCACCTCCCAGGGAGTACGGCCAGGCCACAGTCACTTCTCTTCCATTTTTTTAAAATAAGAATTAGTTATTTATCTTTTAAAGGATTATTCATTCATTCATTCATTTTTTAATTTGGCCAGAGAGAGAAGGTGAGAAAAGAAGGCACCAGGTCTGGGACTTGAACCATGGTCGGCCACGTGGGAGTGTCCAGCGCCTTAACCACCACATCACCTGCTGGTCCCCATTCTCTTTCTTTCTTTTTTTCAGATTTTGGGCACACGTGCACCCAATATGCACCTGGTGTGTTTTCAAGCTGCTGGGTCTGGGACTCAAACCATGCATTTATTTGGCCATGTGGGATCCGATTGCCTTAACTTCCATGCCACTAGCTAGCCCTGAAATACAGTGTTTTTGTTTTGTTTTGTTTTTAAGAATTTTTTAAACTTTATTCATTCATTTCAATTTGATCCGAGATAGAGCAGGAGTGGAAGGACGTGAGAAAGCAAGGCCCAAGATGGAACCGCCGGTGGCCATGTGGGACTCCAGCGCCCTCAGCCACCACGCCACCTGCCAGCCCCCAGTGTTCTGTTTTTAATTTTGTTAATTGTCAGGGTGCAGGTGCTCACTAGAGCACCCCTCAGTGGGTGTGGGCATGCCCTCAGCCTTTCTCCCTCTGCTCCTGTCGGGGTTTTGGACATGCACACAGCAGCCTGGTGTGGAGCTGCTGGGCCAGGGTCTCAGCTGTGACCAGCCAGCTGGGATTTGGCTCCTGTAACGTGGTTCAGGGCGAGCCCCTGGACAGTTGAACTGCTTTGTCCCTTTATCCTGTGAACTTTGGAGAGCATTACGGAGAGAATGCAAGTAACTAGGATTATAGCCGGGGGACCACCAGATGCAGTAATGGTTATATCACTGGACTCCCACGTAGTCCACTGCGGTTCGAGTCCCAGACCCAATGGCTTGAAACTCAGGCTGAGCGCGTGTGCGTGCGTGCCCAAGATCCCAGGAGGAGAATGGAGGGGAAGGGATTGCGGTGTGGCCATCCCCCCGGGGGGTGATTTCCCGCTTTCTGTCTCGTGAGCACATGTCCTCTATCGCTCGCAAAAGTCTGAAACAACAAAGAATGCTGTCTGGGTATGGTGTTGGTGGGGACCACGGTAGCTCTGGCTCAGAGCCTGGACAGCACCCATGTCCAAGGCACCCAGTGGTGTGCTGAGCTGGGCTGAAGCGAGCGGATTCGCTTACTCCTCTCGTGGCTTCTTATGTCTGTTACAGGCCAGGGTTTCGCCACAGAATTTGGGAATGCCTTTAGGGTTCTAGTTTTTTTGTTTTTTTCTGAGAGGTTTTTGCTATAGGGTGCGTGCACTCACCAGGAAGTCAGAGAGAGACAGAGAGACAGAAAGTGAGAAATCACCCCCCAGGGGATGGCCATGCCGCAATCCCTTCTCCTCTATTCTCTTCTTGGGATCTTGGGCACGCATGCACACGTGCAGGGCGTGAGTTTAAGCCACCAGGTCCGGGACGCAAACCAGAGTTGACTACATGGGAGTCCAGCAACATAGCCATTACGCCAACTGCTAGTCCCCGAATTCTAGTTTTTGTGGAAGAGAGAGAACAGTGACTTGAGAATTTGTGCTTGCAAAATTTCAAACCTAGTAATTCTTAGATCACACTTTGTGGAGATTGTAGTTTATTTACTCAGACAATGGGGGGCCAAGAATGGTGCACCCTTTACAGGACGGTGTGGGGCTGCTCTGTTCCCCCCTGTTGTTGTAACACGTTTAGTTTCGGGACTAGCAGGTGGCATAGTGGTAATGGACTCCCACACTGTCAACCATGGTTTGAGTCCTGGACCCTGCAGCTTAAAACGCACACCAGGAACGCTCAAGATCCCCAAAGGAGAATGGAGAAGGGATTTCCATGTGGCCATCCCCCCAGGGGGTGATTTCTCGCTTTCTGTCTCTAGCAAATGTGTGCATCCCATAGCAAAAATCTCTCTAAAAACATGCTCAGTTTTGGGAACCAGCAGTTAGTGTAATGGCTGTGTCACTGGACTCCCACGTAGTCGACTGCGGTTCATGTCCCAGACCCGGTGGCTTAAAACTCACGCCGGGCACGTGTGCATGCGTGCCCAAGATCCCGAGAGGAGAATGGAGGAGAAGGGATTGTGGCGTGACCATCCCCCTGGGGGGTGATTTCTCGCTTTCTATCTCTCTGTCTCTCTCTGTCTGTCTGGCGAGCGCACGCACCCTATTGCAAATCCTCTCCAAAAAAAAAAAAAGAAAAACAAGCTCAGTTTCCAGGGCGGTTTAGGTCACAGCTGCTGCCAGCCCAAGGTCTTCTGGAGGAAATACTCAACAACCTCCTGGGAATCACAGCTCAGGCCCTCTTCTGCGGCCCCTTGGCTAGGAGCAGGACCTCACAGTCCTCAAGGAGGGGTCTTTCATGCTTCCAGAGAGACAGAAAGCAAGAAATTGCCCCCTGTGGGGATGGCCCATTCCAGGGCGGTTTAGGTCACAGCTGCTGCCAGCCCAAGGTCTTCTGGAGGAAATACTCAACAACCTCCTGGGAATCACAGCTCAGGCCCTCTTCTGCGGCCCCTTGGCTAGGAGCAGGACCTCACAGTCCTCAAGGAGGGGTCTTTCATGCTTCCAGAGAGACAGAAAGCAAGAAATTGCCCCCCGTGGGGATGGCCCAACTGCAATTCTGTCTCCATTCTCCTCTTGGGATTTTGGGCATGTGTACGCACACGCCCAGCCTGAGTTTTAAGCCACCAGGTCTGGGATTCGAACTGCGGGGGACTGTGTGGAAGTCCAGCAACGTAACCATTACGCATCTGCTGGCCCCCAGCTTCTTTTTTTAAACAGATTTTTCCTATAGTACACTCACCAGAGAGAGGCAGAGAGACAGAAAGGGAGAAATCACCACCCAGGGTGGATGGCCATGCCGCAGTCCCTTCTCCTCTCGGGATCTTGGACACGCACGCACACACGCCTAGCATGAGAGTAAGCCGCTGGGTCCAGGACTCAAACCAGAGTCCACTACCCACTACGTGGGAGTCCAGTGATGTAGCCATTTTGCTGTCTGCTTGTCCTACCCAGACGTTTCAGCTTTCCGATTGGCTGTGCTTGCTCATTCTGAAGTATCTATCTTTGTACCTAATTTTGTGTTCATTACTTTATGTTGCCAAAATTGTCTTGTCTTCAGTCCACGCCTCTGGCTCTGCCCAGAGCTGCTTCCTGTGGGTTATTCTGTCCCCTCTGAGACCGAGCGCATGTCACCGGGCTGGGCTTCCCAGCATAGAGTCCTGCGGTTTTCTGGGCTGGCTGAGATGGGGACATGGAGGGGGATGTGATTTCGATGTGGAGGCAAGATTTCAAGGGACAGCTGTGACATGTCCCGCAGGGGCTGCCTCTGTCCCCAGGGTGGCGTGTCGGCATCTGCGGCAAGGCGGGTCTGGCTGTGCAGAGGACTCCAGGGCCCCAGGTGGAGGGAAGGGCTGGAAGAGCCTCCCCGGTGTGGAAGGAGAGTTCTTTGCCCCAGATGAAAAGCAGCGCCCCCATGGAAGCTGCACTGGTGGAAGGGGACGACCTTGGGTCTGCCCTCGTCCCAGACAGAATAGGCCCCTGCCACGAATGTCAACAGGACCCTTGCTTTCTGACCAGCCTTGTCTCCTGCATCTGTCCTGGGACCTGCCCGTCTCTAACCCTTAAATAGTTCTTTTTTTTTTTTTTCTTTTTTTCTTAGGTTTTTGCCACAGAGAAATAGAGACAGAGATAGAAAACATGAGAAATCACCCCCCAGGAGGATGGCCACACCACAATCCCTTCTCCCCCATTCTCTTCTTGGGATTTGGGGCACGCACGTGCTCACACCCTTGTGATTTTCAAGCAGCTGGGTCTGGGCCCTGACTGCAGACCCCTTGCGGGAGTCCCAGGCCTTACCTGCAAGGCCTCCTGCCGGCCCTGTGACTGCCCTCACAGGTCCTTTCACCGCCCCAGCACTCGTGTGCATGCCGTGGTGACTTACAGTTCACACGAAAGCTCTTCTCCTCTCGGCTTCGGAACCCGGAACCCGGAACCCGGAACCCGGAACCCAGGGTTGCGGCCCAGGCTGTCCTTCCTGAGCTCGGCCCTCGGGAGGTCCTGGGTGTAACTGACTGCTTAGAGTCAGCAGTAGAGGCGGCCAGCCAGGTGCCTTCACCCCACACCGAGCCCGGAGCGCTGAGGGGCTGCACTGCCTCACTGACAGGCCCTGGGGCAGGGAGTCCAGGGAAATACACCCTGCGCACCACGCAGGGCCCTCAGGCCTCCTGCCTGGAATTGTGTGTGAGTGCACGGGGACTGACTTGTTATCTGGTCCTGAAAGTGCGAGCATTACTACCCAGTGCCGCTCGGGTCCCTGCCTTTCTATGGAAGTCCTTTTTTTTTTTTTTTGAGAGGTTTTTTGCTATAGGGCGCGTGCGCTCGCCAGTCAGACAGAGAGAGACATAGAGACAGAAAGCGAGAAATCACCCCCCAGGGGGGATGGTCACGCCACAATCCCTTCTCCTCCATTCTCCTCTCGGGATCTTGGGCACGCACGCACACGCGCCCGGCGTGAGTTTTAAGCCACCAGGTCTGGGACACGAACCACGGTCGACTACGTGGGAGTCCAGCGACATAGCCATTACGCTAACTGCTGGTTCCCATGGAAGTCCTTTTTAAAAACAGAAAGAATTATTGGGCGCCCCCAGCAGCTCCTCCATTGGCGGGAGGAGCAGGTGAGCGGGAGGGTTTATCCACTCAAATCCGCTAAGGCTCTAGGCGCCCCGGCCCGCCAGGCACCAGCATGTACCCTGTCTGCAGCCAGGATACCCAGGAGGAAGCTCAGCTCAGCCAAGGGGCTCCTGCAGAAGTGGGGGCAGAGTGAAGGAGGCAGCAGGAAGGATAAACTGCAGATAAGTGCAAACACAAGGGAAGGGGGGGAAGGGGAGACAGGCACGACAGATTGACCTGCAGAAAATGGAGAAGAGCCACCCTCTGAGGAAGCCGGCCGGCCGGAAGCCCAGGCTGAGCAATGCCGTACCCCATGAGTGTCAGTGGCCCCGTCTCCGTTCTTGGACAACCCGGAGGAATATCTTTATCAACTATTTTGTAAATGCAAGTTTTTTAGTAGCTCTAGAAACATTCTTAAGGAGAGAATCCCACCTCTCTTGGTTCTTAAGTGTAAATGCCTTCTTTAAGAGGTGAAATCATTTACTGGTGGTTTGTCAGTACAACCAGAAAATAGAGGGTACTGACTTGCAGGAGGCTTGGCCCCTCTTGCGTGTCAGCGTAACATTCCATGGGTGGGGCGGTGGGTGGTCTTTACATCCTACACACAAAGCATGCGAAATGGCAGTTTGGAGTCACAGTCATGCATTTCATGTGTTGACTATTTTAAATTACTTCTATTATGTTTTCAGTAGTATTGCTTCCTAAAGAAAACACCGACTGTCGCCCTCCCGTCAGAATCGGGTGCACTCTGTAACAGCTTTGGTTGTGGTAGTCCACTCCGCATGGCTCCACTCCGCACGGGCTCCACTCCGCACACGGGGTTTCACTCCTCCGCACACGGGCTCCACTCCGCACACGGGCTCCACTGGTGCTCCACTCCGCATGGGCTCCACTCCGCGCACGGGCTCCACTCTGCACACGCATTTCTTGCATCACCCTCAGGGCAGTGGGAACGACCCAGAGCTTTACCTGGGTCCCTTCTAGGGAGGGGCCTCGGTGGCAGGGCCCAGGTCCCTGCTCCTCAGTTCAGGCTCTCTTCAGTCCTTATTAAAATGGTGGGGACTCCCCGTCTCCCTCCCTCACTCCCTCGTCTCCCAGTCCTGCTCACTCTCTCCCTCACCTCTGACTCCTGTTCTGAACCGGCAGGGCCAAGTCTGCCCTCAGGTGTGGACCAGTAAGGCTGGTTCCTTCCGGCTCTCTAGATTCTGGGCTTGAAATATGGGCCGAGGCCCCCAGAAGGGAACCCTGGGGAGAGGTCTGGCCACACAGCTGGGGGAGAAGGTAGCGCCCACACAGAGCCTGGGGCCTGGGAACCTGCATCTTGCCACACGGAGCTTCACGCCGATGGGGGTGTCATCCCACCCCTCCTGTCCACTTTGCGGTCAGAGGCTGATGCCCGGAGGGCTGGCCCCCAGGAGGGGCAGTGTCCCTGGAGGGCTCCTAGTGGGATAGTGTCCTGCAGGCGCTAGGGCCCAGAGGAGGTTCAGCTGGCGTCCAGAACAAGAGGATATGGTCCAGTGTGCTCAAGTCCTGGCTGTGCCTCTCCTGTGCTCCCACAGGGCAGCGCGAAGTCCGCGTTGACCGCCCACCGCCCGGGAGGGCCGGCCCCCTCTCTAGCTGGCCATGGGAAGCACCGCGTTTGCAGAGGGACCAGCGGGTGCTGGGATCTCGGGGTCACCTGAGTAACTGGGCTGCTAGTAACCCCGCGGTGGGAAAGAGGGGACTGGGGGGCAGTGCCTGCCAGAGTGGGCCGGGCTCTCTGGGGCGGGCCTGGCCACCCTGTGTGCACCTCCCTCCCCCCCACCTCAGGGCTGTGTAATCCGTCCCTGCCTGGGCGGTGGCGGCCACCCCGAGAAACCGCTATCTCTGATGGGCACCTGCGGCTGGGGCGGGGGCCAGCCCCCCAGGCGGGCCCCCACCCC